ATATATATATATATATATATATATATATATATATATATATATATATATAGTCTTCACAGAAAAAAAATTCAAACAAGTTGAGCGCGGTATGGCCATTTGTCATTGCATTGGATGTACCATGCTGATCATCGGAGCTATTGTTGTAAGTTTGCATCCGGTTTCACCCGTTTACTTTTATCAATTCGTTTCCATAGCAATCAACGGTATTGCTGACATTCTTTCTAATCACATGTTTGGTCAATTCGTGCATTTGTGTGATAATGATCATAATGCTATCGATTCATTTCAAAGTCCGCAACATAATTATAATTGTTGCGAGCACCATTACAATATGTGAGTACCGAAAGCCAACGACTCTTCTAAGTGAGCCACTAATAAGTGAGTTTTCATTTATACTTATATACGATTTACAGTTTGGAACATTTATTGCTGGATCCTTGTCTTCTCATACTATCGGAAGATAAGCACGACGAACTCAGGGAATGCGTAAATATACTATAAGATCAACAATCTTTTTTCTAGTTTTACAGTACATTGCGTGAAAGTACAGGAAGGATTGTGGATCTTATGGTAGAGTTTCGGGTACTCGTATATTTGCGAAATTATTAAGCTAAATAAATTGAAAGTTACAATAAGAGGTCAGAGTTACAAGTATGAAAATAAAATAAACTACTACCTAAGCTATTTGTAGATATTTTCTATGCAAAATATCCTCCAAATGAATGCGTGTTATAGTCAGTATACAGTCTCTTTTGCTTATTGGCTCTAGGTCCGTGTACAAGTAATACGATTTGTTTATATCTTCGACATGATCACAAGGCAAGAATATGTTCAATACTTGACGGTAACCATTTCCAATTCAAACAACATTCCACTGGCTACGGATGATACTGGGCGACCCCTGCAATGAAGGCAATATTTATTATACAACGCATAGAAGCGAGGAACTGCTTATTTGATATAGACCTGTGCCAAGTCGCAACATCTTTAAATATTAACTGAGGCCGCTCAAACGTAATCACCAAAAACATATTTGGTGGTCATCGTACTGGTTACCGATGGTACTTGACTACCCCTGAAATGAAAACAACATTGTTTAATTACAGAGAAAAACTATGAAGCAGACTTACTGAGTATAGCTTTTGACCAAATTCATCACATCTTTCATAATAGCTTCAATGTCCACATTTGGTTTCGTCTTTAATGTATCACACAGTATTTGTATAAAGGGCGTGCCGGTGTCCAAGCGATAGGAAACGTACCCCTCATAGGTACTGTAGCACTTGAGAATCTCGCTGGGATTACCATGTGGCTGCGTGTGAAGAGTAACGTAATAGTAATAATAATTGATTGACCACAATATTTACATTACCTTGATGGCGTCTGTTTTGAATTTGCCCAACTCCCTGGAGCCCTTGCACGCTTGCACGAATAGGATCTTTGGCTTGTTGGTCAACGTCTGATTGCGCAATATTGGAAATATTATATCATCATCCAACTTGTAGTCCCCATCCTTGGCGGCTATCGTTTCATATCGCTGACCGTGACTCAATATGACCAACACCAGTGCTGAACGATCCTCAAAGCTTTTTTGTTCCACTACAAATCGGAATTGGAATTAGAATTGCAGATAACATAATCTCGTTTCGAGAATGATGACATTGACGATGATTATGACACCATTACCATCATCACCAACATGTTTCTAATGATGATAATATTAATATAGTGATCATGTTTGCTATACTCGTAATTGTTATATTTTTTAAAAAACTATCGACTAACAATTTTTACCATGCTATCCGAACAAAAAATGGATCAAATGCACTCAATATTGGCAAGTTTCTAACCCACAATTCTATGACGAGCTTCGCCTTAGCAGGACCCCCACTTTTCTTCAAAATTTCACAGTTGAATAGAAATTGTAAAGTCATTCACGCATTTACTATATGTGTATTTGACATACAAATTATAGAACTTGGTTTATTTTCAAAATATATCAAAAATAATAAGAAGGAAGGCTCTAGTCGAGACTGCTCGACTAGGAGATACCCTGAACCCTCCAAGCTGA